GAAGAATAAAGGCGATATCGCAGACTGTTCAACATATCGACCAATCGGCCGATGAGACACAAAAGTTTCGGAAGAGTACTTGAAACACGGCTTCGAGCGGTGATAGAATTGTCATCCAATCAGTGCGGACTTGTTAAAGGTGGTACTGCTGAAGCCATTCATACAGCACGGATAGTGAAGGAGAAGTATAGAGGAGCAAAGGGATCTCTATGCCACTTGCCTGGATATGGAGAAAGCTTGCGACAAGGTACCCCGTGATGTCAGGTGTGCACTGTGAAAGCACATGGTTCCAAAAGTATACATCTATTAGATAAAAATGATCCATTACGGAGCCATGAGTCATATGCAGACTGCGGCAGGTCAAAACCATTCCGCATAAAGACCGGCGTATATCAGGGATCGGTGCTTATCGGTGCTCTCTCTTTTACTTTTTATCACGGTCATGGAAGCTGTGACGGAAGGTCTTAAGCGAAGACATCCATAGGCTATCCTGTATGCAGATGATGTGGTGTTGATGTCAGAAAAAAAAGAAAAGAGCTCGAAGAAGAGGTACAATGGAAGGACCAGTTAGGGTCGCACTGCTTGAAGCTCAACAGAAAGAAAGAGTATATAAGAATGGGAAAGCAAACTTCAGAAACCATATACATCGGTGGTGAGCCAGTTAAGAAGACGAGACTTTAAAGTACCCAGGAAGTCGCATCGCTGAAGAAGGAGGACTTGAAGATAAGTTTTGGGCAAGGACAAATGCTGCCTGGATGGAATGGAAGACCATCATAGGAGTCTATGTGACAAGCAACTTTGGAGAGTTTGAGATAGATGAACATTATGCCTTAAATGGAGAATACTGGAAAGTCGATTCGCGCAGCAGACTCTGCGTGAGCGGGGAAAGCGAAGATCAAAAATGAAGTGAGAATGGGTATCTTGAAGAAAATTTTGGCGTGTTCTCAGACAATCGCGTCAACAATAGGAAAGACTTGAAGAATGACTGGCTTGTTATTTTTCTCATTGCCCGCTTGCTGAACTTTTTCGCTTCTAACCTTCTTTGGTCCTCACTCTGTTACATTCGCAACCCGCTACGTTGAGTAGGTGCCGCTCCCGAATCTCAAT